TCACCTTTTGGGGCTTGCTTCGTCTTAACTTTAGTTATAGGTCTAGCAGCAACAATGGGTAGTTGAGGCAGTTCCTGAGAACATTCAGGAATGTCTTCCATGGCCTCTGTGTCAGGCAATGACCCAGCACGACCAGTTTGGCTAATCCCATCAAACTGAGGTGGAAGAGATATTGTTTTTACAGTAATCCCTTCAGAGGGGAGGGATTCAAACTGAAGAACCAATTTTAGGAAGCCATCCTTATGATTTTGCCTCTCTAGAACCACTCTCGGTACCAAATGTGTTCTGGTTGCCTAGTGCCGCTCTGACAGGAATATACCACAAATGGGATGGCCTTAACAAATAAGAGTTTATTCTTACAATTTGGAGGCTTTAAGTCCAAGTTCAAAGTGCCAGGCTCTAGGGGCTGGGTGAAAGCTCCTCAACCTTGGGTCCAGCTCTACCTCCTACTCCCAGCCCACTGGAACTAGAGGCATTTCTTCACTCAGACAGCTGCTGGCTGCTGAGGCTGAGAAGCCCCAAGGTTGACAAGTCAAAAGGCACAGTCCCGATGTTACCACATGGCAGGCCACTGACTTAAGTCAATTGAAAGTCCCAAGGTTGGCAGAGCGTAGCAAGCTGCTGAGCAATGACGTGGCTAGATGCAGGGTCCAAGCATGCCATAGGCTAGAGACCATTCTCAAAACTTCTCCTATATACAGGAAGCAGACCATATAACCAAAGGCAGCTACTCAGCTGCTCATAGTAGATTCCACCATGGAGTTGATTACCAGTCTCATCATGGGAAATACTACATCCAGCTGCCCAGCCACTCAACCTGGCCTAGCCAAGTTGACACACAAACATAACTACCACACTATCCTCAGAAATTGGTTTGCCTTTTGGGATAATTGTTTTCTAAGGAAACTGTTATTTGTTGCAAATAGATGCATTGCTTGAGAGAAGTATTGCTGAGAAGTGTATTAAGAGTAAATTCTAAAGAATACGGGGATTGTGGAAGGTTATGGTCTACAGTGGGAGCCATAAGTTCATTTTGAGGCTTGACATAAGTTTTAGATGCCATTTGGGTTCTTTCTGACCATCATTGTGGCTATGCACAGACAAGTTCTAGGAGGGGCAGTTTACCTGCCAAAATTGTATAGTTGAGAGTAGATTGTTGTTGTTGTTATGTGCTGTCCAGTCGGCTGGACTCATAGTGACCCCTCCTTGGATAGTGACCCCTCCTTGGGTTTCCAAGGTGATGTTACTATGGAAGTAGATTGCCCCACCTTCCTTCCAGGAGTGGCTGATGGGTTTGAACTGCCAGCCTTCTGATTAGCAGTCAAGTGCCTTAGGCACTATGCTACCAGAGCTCCTGAAAGTAGATTATACTCACCAAAGGAACTAGGGAACTTGCCTGAGTGTGTCCTTTTCTGATTTAAATTAAGGTTGGGATCTTGGTATTGTTGGGTAGCCACTTTGTGGCTAAGTCTCAGGCTGCATGGTCATGAGTCACAGCCTATCCAGGACCACCATCTATCTAGGTTTTCAAGGCCCAAACCAATCCTGTAAGCCTTTCCTATCTTCAAATCCCAATCCGGGTCTTTTCCCTGTTTAATAATCCTGCCTTCAACAGTGATGAATCTGTTTACCGCCAGTCATGATTTTGTGATGATTTAAAATCAAGTATAATTAGCCACATGGCCATGACTCAGCAGATTTCATTCAGCTTTCTCAGCTGATTGTTTCCCTAATACAGGATGAATGTCTTTGTTTTGTGTTTGTCCTGTCCAAGGCTTAATAAAAATGTCTCTATTGAACCTGTTTGAATCTGGGGTCTTTTCCCCCCTATTACAGTACTAATTGCTGAAAAGAAAGTAGCAAACCGGTAAATGTGGATGAAGCTAGTAGAAAAGATTGAACTTTTTAAATTCTGAAGTTATTTTTCAAGAATCACAGCAGACTATATGTGCACTTTTGGGTGGCTGTCATCATTTTACTAAATTACTTTTCTTTTAATTTGAGTTTACTTTTCTTTGACTTTGCATGGATCATTGTGCTAGATTTACCTTTTGAATTTTAGCAATTTATAAATCCATAGTACTGAAAAGTCTTTTGAAAGCCCTCAATTCCTCAAACCTTCTTAGATGATAAGTACTTGAATGACTATAAATGAAATTCTGGTTATTTTAGGTTATTCTGGTTAAATACTGAGAATATTTTAGAAATGATAACAGTGATAGCTTTTGTGTCTATGGTCTAGCATTTAAAAAAAAAAACAACTCACTGACATCGAGTTGTTTCCAACTCATAGCGACCCCCTTTGGATTTCCGAGGTGGTAATCTTTACAGAAGTAGATTGCTCAGTCTTCTTTCCACGAAGTGGCTAGTGGGTTTGAACCACCAACCTTCTGATTAACAGTCAAATGCCTTAGGCATTGCGCCACCAGAGCTTCTTATGGCCTAACATAGATATTGGTAAAAATAAGAATATCTAGTATTTACTGAGTGCTGAATTAAGTTTATAATGAACTTTTATTTTTTTATGTTAACTTTTTATTATGTTTTGGGTGAAAGTTTAAGAGTAAATTATCCATTCAACAGATCACACACATTTTGTTTTGTGACACTGATTACAATCCCCACAATGTAACGGGACTCTTCCCACTTCCTACCTATGGTTACTATTTCCTTTTGTCCTTCTTTCCTATCCATTCAAGCCTTCTGAGCTTTACCCCTGGGCAAATGCTGCTCACAATGAACTTTTCATATGCAGTAGTTTCTACTTAACATCTGAACAATTTGAGGCTGTAACTGACCATTAAGTAACTTGCCCAAGGTCATAGAGTCAGTGGGGGGCAGTGTAAGGATTTGAATCCCAGAGGCCCACATTCTTGACCACCTTATCATGTTGTCAATTCTTTACTTATTTCCATACTGTATTTTAAACTCTTGCAGAGGCTCCGGATGATAGGAATTATTCTAATTAATAAAGGTAACTTTACGTTTTCTCACTTTGAAAGTAACATCATATTTTCTAGACTATAAAATAAAGAAAATATATTCTCAAAAAGAGAATATAATGCTAAATGAAAGCAGTAGGGCATATTTGTTTTTTATTTTTCATAATCTGAGCTTGTGATTCCCACACCTGAAGAAATATTTTTATGAATGTGAGTCTTGTTTCTTCTTGTATCTTGTTTCATATGATGGCTAGAAATCCATTCATATAAAAAGACAACCTCTGTCTATGGAGAAAGTTGAAGCATTCTACTTCCATAAAGATTTACAGCCCTGGAAACCCAGTGGGTATCACTGAGTCAGAATCAACTTGATGGGAGTGGGTATCTATGGTGTAGGAGCTATGGGGGTGCAGTAGAAAAGTGCTTGGCTTCTAACCGAAATATTGGCAGTTTTAATCCATTGGCTGCTCCATGGGAAAAAAATGTGGCAGTCTGCTTCTGTAAACATTTACATTCTTGGAAACCCTAAGAGGCAGTTCTACTCTGTCCTAAATGGTCACTATGATTTGAAATTGAGTTGATGGTAACAGGTTATCTATGTTACGTATCATGGAACTGCTTTATTATGCTAAATACACTTTTCATATATATCTCTCTAATTGTAACCACAATTGGAGGGAAAAGAGGAAGAAAGAAACAAAATTCAAGAACAGTATTGCTAAAGTTTGGTTACTTCTGCATTTTTCTGACAAATCACTTAACTTTATGGACCTCTTGTTTAAAGCTGAGGTAATGATATAGAGCTTGTCAGATCACATCATTCAACTAAATTTGCTATCACATTTGAGATTTCTTCACCTACTCTCATCCAAAGTATCTCACTCACTGCCATCAAGTCAGTCTCGACTCATAGTGACCCCTCCTTGGGATTCCAACAAAGTATCACTACAGAAGTATATTGCCCAGTCTTCCGAAGAGTGGCTGGTGGATTTGAGCTGCCAACCTTCTGGTTAGCAGTCATATGCCTTAGGCACTACACCATCAGAGCTCCCCATCCAAAGTATGTTGTTGTTGTTGTTGTTATGTGCTGTGGAGTTGACCCAACTCATAGCAACCCCTCCTTTCTGAGGCAGTATCACTATGGAAGTAGATTGTCCAACCTTCCTTCCAAGGAGTGGCTGGTGGGTTTGAACCTCTTGCCTTCTGGTTAGCAGTCAAGTGCCTTAGGCACTACGCTACCAGAGCTCCTATCCAAAGTATGTTGTTGTTATGTGCCATTAAGTCCAGTTGGCTGGACTCATAACGACCTGTCCTTGGGTTGCCAAGGCAGTATCACTACGGAAGTAGGTTGCCCAACCTTCCTTCCGAGGAGTGGCTGGTGGGTTTGAACTGCCAGCCTTCTGGTTAGCAGTCAAGTGCCTTAGGCACTATGCTACCAGAGCTCTTAT